AACTTGATGCTTAATTGTTATCCCAGTTGATATACAATAATCATTAAAGGCTCGGGACGTAATTCACCAGCATTATCAAGACGAAGTGTCTTAATTGCATAATCTAGAAATTGTGCTCTTAATCTTATTAATTGAGCCAGTAACCTCGCAAGGCCAAATTGCGGGTTGATAACAAGCACAAATGTGACCATCTTATAGATGCATCTATCAAAACCATATAAAATTTGAATGGTACACATGAAGAGTGTATGGGCCCACATATATCACCCTGTATATGTTAAAAAAATGCGGGAGATTCAACTCCAACTTTAATCACTAATGGTCTAATAATCAGTTGGGATGGCCCAGCTGGTCATGCCAAATAATAAAATTATTAGTAAACCCTTTGTTTACTATGGCATGTAATTCGATTACGCTAATACTTGTGTAGTATAATCCGGAGGAAAATGCGAGAAGCTTTTCAAGAACATACTTCTTTTCCTCTTTTATTGTAGTAATATAAAGATATTCAACCTTTCCTTCATTGGTGGTCTCAATATGTTAGCCATTTTAACGAATATCTTTGAAACTCAACAAGTTTTGTTGAGACCTACTACAATATAATGCATCATTAACAGCCAATATAGTTCCTCCTGGTAGTAATAAAGTTCCTCTTCCAGAGCTCTCAATTAATTTTGTACTATCAGATATTGTTATGATATTAGCTACTTTCATAATTAAATATGAAATATCCCTTATTTTTTAATATGATGTGTGTAGTAGCACTATCAAGAAAGTATCTTTCTTCTTTATTATTCATACGGCCAACTAAATATTGGGAAGTTTGCATATTCTTCATAAAAAAAAATAATACATCATAAGTAATACTGAAAAATTTAAGAACAAAAGAAACTATACTTTGGAAAGTAAATACTGACAACATAAAATATTTTATTTAAATATGAACTTGATTAAAAAAATAATTATTCTTATAAATTTTCCCAGTAATAAGTCTTCAATTATGATGCTCAAAGAAGTTTTCAGCTTCTAAATGAGTAATATCTGCAAGGCCTTCAAAAATATCATCTTTATAGATAAGGTTTGCTTCAACTTTATCATGATTATTCATAGGTCCCCCCTCAACATCATTTTGAAAGGTCAAGTGAGTCTTAACCTTATTTTATCTCCCATTTATGGAGGCTTGATAAAGTTTGACAAAAGGCGTATGACAAATTCGTGCCCAATAATTTTTCACATCACATCGGTGGCAAATATTACCTTTGCCTTTTGAAGGATTATTCTGAGAACCTTTATTGTTCTCTTGTTTATAACGACCACCACCATGGCGATTATTATTTCGCCTCTTGCCACGTCCACGTATATTTATATGGTCACAATATTATTTTGTCTTCTTTCAGACTTTGGATCTGTTGCTACCAGATTCGCTTCTGGAAATGGAGCTGATCTAGTGGGGCAGGCTTCATGATTTTTCATTAAAAGGGAATTATGTTGTTCAGCCACCAAAAGACATGAAATTAACTCTGAATATTTCTTAAAGCCCTTTTCACGATATTGCTGCTATAACACCATATTTGAGGCATGAAACGTGGAAAGAGTCTTTTCCAATATGGCCTCATCATTCATAGGTTCTCCACATAATTTTAGTTGGAAAATTATTCTATATACAACAGAATTATATTCACTTATGGTCCAATAATCTTGTAGCCATAAGTGGGTCCACTCACGACGAGCTCTTGGCAATACTGTGGCTTTTAGATGGTCATATCGTTCCTTCAAACTAATCCATAATTGAAATGGATCTTTCAAGGTTAAATATTCGCTTTTTAACTCTTTATCGAATTGACGGCGAAGGAAAATCATGGCTTTCGCCTTATCCTGACTTGATGCTTCATTTCCTTCCTTAATAGTGTCACCAAGACTTTTAGCGTCAAGGTGAATTTCAACATCAACTATCCATGACAAATAGTTATTCCCGGAGATGTCAAGTGCCACAAATTGAAATTTTGATAAATTTGACATAGTGAAAACTATTATAGAAAATAAGTGAATTAGAATGATAAAAATTATTATCAACGAAAAAAATTAATGCAGAATATAATCGTGTATCACTACAACAAATGTGATATTTAGCTACAAAACTTTTAGCCACGACACATTAATTCGTCACTAATAATTCACTTTTCGTGACAAAAATTATGTTTCGTATTTAAATACATAAGCCGCACACTTTTAGTGACGAAACATAAAATTTCGTAGCAAATGCTTTGTCCACTAAAATTTCCTACCAAAAAACGTTGGCGCCATTACTGAATAACATTAGCCACGAATTTTATATCATCGGTGACATATTATTTTGTCACTAATGATGTACCCAATTTGTGACAAATTATAATTTGTCTTAAAATTGGTAAAATTTTGGACACGAAAAAGTTTCGTCACAAAAAATATGGTATTACAATAGTGACAAATTAAAATTTATAGTTAAACATTGTAAGCTTTAGCTACCAAAGTTTATATTTAATTATGACCTTTTTTGTCACTAATAATGCAAACAATTAGTGACAATTATTTAATCGTCTCTGTTTAACGTATAATTTAGTCACAACAAAAATTTTGTCACGAAAAATATAATTTTAAATGGCTACGACTTAAATTTTGTAGTTGAACAGTACAATTATTAGCGACGAAAAAGATTCATAGTTAAAAACTAAAAGACATACATTTGTTCATGCGATACATAAAATTACTTTAGGACTAATTAACCTTATGACTAAAGCACCCATATTGAAAAATTATCAAGTTCAAAAAACTGTCCATTTTGTAAAGTTCTACTATGAAGTCTATATAGCCTGCAAAATTGGAAAAAAATCAAATTAAAACCGTACTTAGTTTGATTCAATTGTCATTTCTAATTTTAGAAAATAGAAAACCAAAAAACCAAATTAAAATTTAATAGAACCAGAACAACCAAGGAACACGTACCTTGTTGCTACAAAAATTTAGCTTCCACTTCACAATTTCTTGAGATTAGAAGGTTGGTCTCATAAATGATCCTCTGTTATTTGCCAATTTAACCTTATATCTAGCTCATCATTTAATTATAAATTAAAATAAATACCACACTTCTTTAACTCACTTAGACATTTCGCATCACTACTAAACTTCACACACCAGATCCAATCAATAAAACGAACCTATCTAAGGTCCCAAAACACCGGTCAGAGTCTGATAATACCAAAATATACTCTAACTCAAACTTAACAAATTTCAAACCTCGATGTAAAATAATTACAAAGTTACTAGTGTAATACTATAATTTAAAATAGTGTTCCTTCAAGATTAATTACGAAGTTACTTTTAAAGTTAAGAGACATAGAACTTAAGACACGGAGACCAATGACAAATGAAGATATAAATTTTGGCTACCTATTTTTTTTTTAAAAAAAATGTTCAAATAAAATTCACTTTTACGATGTCCAATTAAATAATATGCAATATTATGGCTCGTTATTTGAGTTACTCCCAATTTAAAATTTTTACGAATGAGTAGAACTTATTATTCATTTGTTATAAAATTATGAGGGTCAACAAAGCTTATTAGGAAACTCAACACATTATTTGCGTAAGAACTGTGGAGTGAGTCTCGAGCCTTAAGCGTTAGGCGTGTTCAACGCGCACAGTCGAACGCTTGAGACATAAGCCTCGTGAAACTATGCCTTGCGTGTAAGTGTCAGGGCATTTTGATAGTGTCCCGCCCTGTGGCGAGTTCCCGAAAAACCTTTTAAAATAGAGATGTGACGGTGTTTGATTGGATACAAAATTTAAAAGAAACTAGGACTTATTAAATTGTATAATTATAATTTCTAAATAGGTATTTATATAATCAGTTTGGTTCGACTTTTCTCAATTAAGTTTTTCTTAAAATCAAATAATTAAATTTTATCTATTCTTAAAATTTAAAAAATCAAAATCAAATTTCTCATGAACACTCTTTGTTTAATATATTATTTTATGCCAAGATAGTTAAATCAATTTTTGAAATCTTTCTTTATTATTCTCATAAAATATTTCATATAACTTATTAAAAACATAAAAGTCATCCAAAATTGAGATATGAAGAATATACGTTCTAAAATAAAGTTTTATTTTAGTATTATTTTCACAAGTTAAAGTTTATTTTTACTATTTTTTCCGTAAATTGGGTGTAGCACTATATACGGCTAATGTTAGGGTTAGAAAAAATCTCCACTTCCTAATTTTTGGGATCTTATTCCTAAAACTCTTCATACTCGCAGATACCCCCAAAATAGAATTCCACAACACTGTAAAATGGAGAAAGANATTGAATGATTAATTCATATATTATTTGTGGCATACAACTAGTGAAGCATGCCTGTACTGAAGGAAAAAAATTAGGAATTAGCAAAGTAGGCATTTTTTGTACATATATTGACGCTTTCCGTCTGGTTTCGACGGAATAGTGGATGGATTGCAGGAATAGGGTATTACAGCTTGTGTTTGAGTCAAATCATGCTTCTTGGTGACACTTAGGACTTTGTTTGATCGGATAATGGTACTTTAAATTCTGATGAACTGAACCAAAATGTTTTAAGGTGAATATTCTGTAGGGTAATTTATATTTTTGTTGAAATTAGTAAACATTTCTTTACTAGGCTCAATCTTTATCAGAAACATAACTTCTTATAACTCTGCCGCTTGTATAAGTTTTTGAAAACATAGTTTATGTGCCTTTTGATTTGACAAATTCCTGCATAAATAGATCTTTGGTATGTTATACTAATAACTTAAGTCGGCTAGTGATGCTTCAATAGTTCAATAAATATTAGGAGAAGAAGACAATAAACTCTTATTAGAAAATGATGTGCATCACGCTTTCCAGATTGATGATTTATGTTCTTTTTGAATATTCCTTTAGTTATTTCTATCTTTTGGTTTGTTAAACTAATAAATTTTATATCTGATGAATATACTAAAATTATTAGCGTTTTTGGTAGAATTCTACAAATCAATGGCACCAGGCGGATGTGTCTTTAGACAAACCACAATTACATGTGCTTCTACTCAAGCTAACCGATCATCTGCTCCATCAAATAGTAATAATCCTATTCCTAATACAGGTAATACGTACCTTTTATATATTATATTGACGAGGAGTATATCTATTAGTTATTGTTTGTTCTCCTTATTTCTAATGCTTATTGCTCATTGTTGTTAGTATATTGGGGATTTCCATTTCCGTGGAAGTCATTATCTGATAAATTACATTGCACGCATTCTTTCTTATTGATTTTAGTAGATACGAAGGGAGCCAAGAACTTCACACCTACTGCAATATTATTCTTGAGTTTATGTTTATAAAAAAACGGATTGTGTTTAAAAGAGGGGATGTAAACAAAGTTCTGATTGTCGCCCAATAAGAAGTTGCAACAAATTCTTATTTTCCTCCACCGGAAAGAAATAGCTATTTTTATGTTCCAGCATCTAACATTCTTGTGTTAAAGTTGGAACCAAATATATTAACATTTGAAATATTCATTAATGTTAAACTTGTAACAATAGAGTTTTCATTTGTAGCATTGCAATTAATTACTAATATGTATACATGGTTACTATTTCTGAATTTTAGCAGGTATTTTGAACTGACTTTTGCTTTTTAAAATCAGATGATTCAACTAGAATTAGGAAATGTTGTGGAAGGACAATGGGAAAAGGTCTTGAGAAAATGAAGAAGTCTATAGGAAGAAAGATGGTTATAGAAATCCCAGTTGGTAAAGGAAGGCCAGTTGAGGCAATTCCATCAGCAAAGCTATCAAATGAGTTAGGAATTGTTGCTCGCAACTTTCTTTCGCTTCCAAACAAGTGGAAGGAACTCACAAGAGAGGATAAGGATGCAGCATTAATTAGATGCCATGTAAGGATTCTATATTTTGGTAAATTTTATTACATTGTAAATATGTTAGATTTTAATCTTTTCCGAGCAAAGGAAATTTTGATAGTTTTGTGAGTGTCTTCAAAACTTCTTATTTTGTAGGAGAAGTTTGAAATTAACTTGGACGAGCATTACACCAAAGATAGCTGTGAGGATATTCTGAAAAATAGAAGCTGACAATGGCGCTACAAATTAAAAAAGCTATTTGAAAGTGCAAGCTCCGAGGAAGAGGCTCGTAAAATTGAAGTGCCAGAGTTGACCCCGGAAAATTGGAATAGGCTCTGTGACATGTGGGCGAATCTAGAGCATAAGGTAATTTCTATTACCTGATTGCTTGGTTTTGGATGTACAAAAGATATTTTCAGCAACATGTTTACTCACTGGTCTTGGTTTCACACTGCACAACTAATGAAGTAATTGATTGTTTGGTTTTGGATGTGCCCTTGAACTGTTAACTGTTAAGTCAAGTATCTTAAGCCAAGTTGAATGTCAGGGATCAAGCCACTCTTTGGTGTTGTGTGTTGGATAATCAATACAGTAAAATTAGGTCTAAACAAGATATTTGTGCAAGAAGATGATGCTTCTTTTCCCCACCTAGCCATATACAATGTCCATAATCACTATCCATGTTGGTTATGTCACGTAGAAATCATCTTTCAGCAAATAATTCAAGTTGTTGAATCATCTAAGCTACAAGATCCATCAAACTTATGATATTTGCTGTTCAAATCTCTCATCGTATTATGTTTGTCTATTCTACTCTTGTTGTTTTCTGCCTTGTGGGTTTGGAACTGTTGAAACTGTCCTTTTTTTTTTGGTTAGCAATCCGAAGGGAATGAATAGCTGCATTTTCAACTAAATGCAAAATTGTCTTACGAGAAACTTCTGTCTGCAGTGTAACTATTGTAAATGATGGTCGTTTACAGTGTCTTCAAACAAGACAATCTATTGCTAATAAGGAAATAAAATGAACAGCAGCTTAACGTTTTCCTCTGCCGCCACCAAGCTTAGGACCTTTTGATGCACCTCCTTTGGGGAGGTTGCCCTTTCCTCCAGCTTTCTGGGACTTGGCCGTCACCTCTGCTTCCTTAGCCTACTTTTCATCCTTTGTATTCTTAATCCTTTCCTTAATTTCACGAAGAGCAGCCTCCCTGGTAGCATCTCGAACTCCTGGCCTTTCAGTTCTTTTCTTCTGGATAACCTCCAAGGTTGCACCCACAATGGACCTTGAGTAAGGCTTCTTGGTGGCACGTCGCCTCTTCTTAACAGCTTTTTGTGCAATATCCTTCTTGTGTTGCTTCCTATACATAGCTGTCCAAGTAAGTTTTGATGGTTTCAGCATGTTGTGGAAGTATCTTTTGCATTTTGAATTGTGGAATAGGAACACCTGAGAATCTGAACGAATAAGTCTGATGCCCCTCCCAGGGTAAATCTTGCCACCACTGAAACTATAGAGTTCTGTCTTGAGAACCATGGCTGATGTTGTTGCTTGCCCTCCCTCTCGATAAACTGTCCTTTATTTGTTTTCTCATCATTGTGAATTTTAGAGTAACTTTTATATTTATTTGCATTTAAATGTATAGATGGTGAATGTTGAGTAACTTTTATACTTATATTTATATATTANATATATATATATATATTTATATCCCCGTTTAGGGGAACATGAGTCTTTTTTCAACTTTTCATTAAGCATAAGACTATATCTCTACTAACTAACATCTGACTTCTATTAACTCATAAAACTAGTTTCCAGTTTTCCATCATACAATACATAGCTGCATAATATAAAGAACCATGATCCTATTAGACAAGCATTCATTACCTTTTGTTGAACTTGTAATCTAATCATGTTAATGTGGTTGAGGTTCAATCACCCTCCACATTCATTACTAAGATGATATTTTAGTAATATTTCATATTATTTTTATATTGTGTAGGGTGTGAATGAACATGGAGGAGTAGAGCCAAATAGGATTGAGTTCTACAAAAGCACCCATTACTCGAGTGAAAAAGGATGGTCATCTCCAGAAGCTGAGACTAACTACGTAAGTAATATTTTAGTACAATGTCACATGTATTCATTCTATCTTATAATTAATTTAACTGATGTAATATTTTTATGTAGAACAAAATGAGAGATTTGAGAGCTCGGTCTGTTTCTGAAGAGAATCCAATGACTATTGATGAAATTGTTGATAATATACTTGGTACAAGGTCAGGATATATTAAAGGCCTTGGCTATGGACCAAAGCCTAATACAACTACAGCAACAAAAAGGAGGACAGTAGAATTAGAGGATGCTCTTAGGAGGGCAAAAGAGGATGCTGCTACTGCCCAACATGATTTACAAGAACATTTGAATGTAGCTGAAACTGAGGTAGCAAATCAGCAAATACAGATACAAACATTAACTTCTGAGTTGGGTACTCTAAGGGCACGCCAAGAGGAAATATTAAACGAAATGAAGTGTCATTTTATTGGCTCATCACCATCAAGGTTAGTAGTACTACATCTTTAAATGATAAATTCAATTATATTTCTTTTAGCATCTAAGTTCGAATGTTTTTTCTAATGATACAGTGAAGATTGAGCTCCACCAGATTATCAACTTTGGGTACACTAAACTTCACACTATTTAATTTTTTTCTCATTTTTATTTATTTGTATCACAATTCAATTATTTGTTTCACCAATTAAACTCTACGTCTAACAAGAAGTTGTAGTTTATACCAATTATATTTTATTTATGCCATGATACCATAAAGTATTAACTTAAATCTTAATTTTTTCTCTATCTTTTATATAGGTATATGAAGGTAACTATTGGATCAAGACTAATTGCAAGTGAAGTGTCACTGCATTCCTCCACTTCTCAGTCCTAGTTTAGGAGTAATATTTCTCAATTAGACTTTTATGTTGGACATATTTACTTTAATTATGTTTCTTTTTATTTTAAGGAGCTTTTATTTCAATATAATTTTAATATTAGTTTTATGATCAATGGTGAATATTTTTGTTACCATTGATTGTTTTTATTTTCTGTTATTACCTTGATTGTTTTATTATGTTATTTCAAATTCGTATAACGTCAATCTAAAACAAATACGAATATAAACGTCATCAAACATTTGTTATTAGTGACAAAAATGTTCACTTTTTTATAGTTTTTAGGAATATCACATTTTCGTCACGAAACAAATTAAGTTTGTCATAAATTCACTTATTTAGTGACAGAATAATTTATGTCCCAAAATGATCTTTTTATTGACTACGAATCAACTTTGTATTTTTTGACAATTGTAATTGTCACTAATTATGATAACTTATAGTGACAACTTTATTTTGTCGATAAAAATATTTTTTTAGTGATAAGATAATAGTTTTAACTACAAAATTATAATTGTCACTAATTATATATTTAGGGACGAAATACTTTTTTGTAGATAAAAGGTAGTCTTTAGTGACAAATTTACGGTTTTTCAACTACGAAACACACATAGCTTTAGAGACATTTGACGTCGTCACTAACTAAACTAAATTTTTAGAGACGAGGCAGTTTCGTTGACATTAATGCACTTTCTAGTGACAAAATCATAATATTAAGTACGATTTTTTTGTACTTTTTATGACAAATAAATCCGTCATAAATATTACGTATTTGGGGACGAAAAGAATTTCGTATTTAATATTTCATTATTTGGCGACGAAATACAAAGTTGCCTTTATATGTTATTAGTGACGGTGTTTTAGAGACGAAAGATTGACAAAAGAAATTTCGTCACAGAAAATCTTTGGTGACGAAAAGTGAATCATAGGTGACAAAATAATTCATCATTGATAATCAAATTTGTTGTAGTTATAACATTCTCTATGTAATTATTAGAACAAATAATTATGTGTAATGTGATGATAAATTAGTGCTTAATATTACACACAAGAACTTTAGATATGTAAGTATATTTTCGGAGAATAAATAAGTTGAAGTAATCTCATTAATAGGTACTAGTATATTTTGTTCTACTTAGAAGACGTTTCAATAAGTTAAGTAGGCATAAAACTAGATGATATCAATTCTGCAAGTTTCAATATTGAATAAATTAATCTAATAGTTAAGGCATTAATTAGTGTGTACACTTAGGTGATAAATCTATTGAAGATACTTTTAAACCTTTTTAAAATTTTGTAAGAATTCCTTCTAAATGCCTATTCTGTCATAACATTTGGATGTGGGATTAATTAGTCTAATCACTTTAATTCAATTTAATTCTTATCTATTTATGTGTAGGTTTAAACTTCTTCGTAGATTATATAATAAAAAACCAATTTAATCGAAGCTTATTGTTTTCATATCAAGATAACTATTATAATCATATTCTAAACAAGTTATGCATATGATTATTAAATTGCAGGTTAAAGAAGATCCTAATAGAAACGTTATAAAAGAATGTATACCTGAATCGGAAAAGAAATTAACTACCTCTTTTTGGAAGAAGATTAAATTTGAATGAAACAAATAACCTCAGTTGGTTAGAACTTCGTGCTGATAACGTATTAAAAAATTATAGCAATATGAGCCAAGAAATATAGATAAAACTTTTCTTCTATCAAGTTATATTTAAGTCTATCTTATTGATGTCTTTTGTAAAATGAGAAACATTGTATATATAGTGTACAATTTACTTGAGAGGTACAAAATATTAAATGAGTGTAATAAATATATTCATGTATAATCCAAAATGGTTCATGGATAAGTTGTTGGACATTCACAAATTCAATGTATTCATAACAATCGGAAATTTATTACTTAACTTTTTTAGTTTGAATTACGTCATTCATTTTGAAATAGAGGAGTAGCATATTTTGGGCCATGAGATTTATTCCTTGTTTTGATCATAACCAGAGATATTATCACTTTTAGCTCGCGCCAGAAACAATTTATATTTGGTAATCGAGAAAGTAAATAAATTTATATAATTTTTGTATATAACATACAGAATGTATAATATACAAAATATATATATTTTCGGCTATTATATCGAGAGCGGCTATACTATATCATTTTCCTTAGCTAATTCGGGAGGGAAGTGCACGGATAGCCACTAATAACACATGTATTTACTTTTAAGCCAATGTTTAAAATATATTTAGTCTTTAGCTACTGCTTTAATAAACTTTACCTGCCCGAACGAAAACATCCTTCTGCTCATAAAGTTCAGGACCAAGTGTCCTTAACTTTTGAACATGTAACTCTAAGTTCAGGACTTCAGGACTACATGTCCTTAACTTTTGAACTTGGAACTCGAAGTTCATGACCAAATATACTTAACTTTTCAGCTTGTTAGTCTAAGTTCAGGACCTATTGTCCTTAACTTTTGAGCTTGTTAGTCTAAGTTTAGGACCTATTGTCCTTAACTTTTGGGCTTCTTAGCCTAAGTTTAGGACCTATTGTCCTTAACTTTTGAGTTTGTTAGTCTAAGTTCATGACCTATTGTCCTTAACTTTTGAGCTTGTTAGTCTAACTTCAGGACCAAGTGTTCTTAACTTTTGAACTTGTAACTCTAAGTTCAGGACCAAGTGTCCTTAACTTTTAAACTTGGAACTCGAAGTTCAGGACCAAGTGTCCTTAACTTTTGAACTCGCAATAGGTCCATAATCGGACAGATAGAGTAGGCACTGAAAGATCCTTATGTTCATGACAAATCTGGTAATTTGTGTTCCTTATTGCTCACGCGTAACCCTTTGCATCAGGCAGGTCCATGAGGTGCTATACAATGCTGGTTACAACAACATTTTCTGGGTTCAAGGTGGTTTAGAAGCTGCGGAAGAAGAGGTTTCAAATTAATCTTACTTATGTCTTTTTTGCTTTAACATATATTCATATTTCCAGAATACAAGTTCATATATTTAAATACAATTTGGATCAGGATCTTGAAAGAGAAGGTCCTCAACCATTTAAGTTCGCAGGAATTGGGGGGCTTTCAGAATTGCTCGGGTAATTATTTCATGCTTGTGCCTAACACATGAAAGAGATAGAAGAAAGGGTAACACAGTCTTTTCACTTAATTTTAATAGATTAGTGGCTACTATTGTTAAGCATTAAAAATGTTGGATAAAAAGTAAATACCACTTTAAAAAGTGGCTACCCCACACAATTTTTACTTAATTCGGCTGACTGGCCCGATTCTATTGGTCCGTACTGCAATTCTCCAATGACCTATGTTGGGCTTTCCCAGGCCCATTCATATAGCTATTTCCACCTGTGATTTTCCCGGTGTCGTTTTGTTTGAAACAACTACATAAACATCTCCTACTCTAATTTCTGCCTAGCAGAATAATTTAGGTTATTTCAAAATCATGCTCCTAGATTTAGTTTTAGTACTTGAATTTTATTTAGCTCAAGCGGCTGCCAATCAATTCTATTGTTCCTGTCGAATAATTTCCTCAAAAAGCACGTTTTCATGGTTTAATGGAATTTTTTAAAAACATTTGATGGTCTATATCATGTTCACATTTGGATTGCTAAAATTTTTGGTGTTTCGCGAAGTAACTAATGGTTAGACTAGCAAATATTCAACAAGCATTATTTTTTGTGTACGATGGAATTTAACATGCTTTCTTAAAAAATCTTTCTAACCTTATATATTAGTATTCCCTCCGTTTCAATTTAGATGAGGTAGTTTGATTCGACATGGAGTTTAAGAAAATAAATAAGACTTTTGAAACTTGTGGTCTTAAAAGTTTAAGGATAAAAGCTTTATGGGGTCATGACATTTGTGTGGTTATAAAAACTTCTCATTAAGGATAAAATAGGTAAATTAAAGAGTTTAAAGTTAAATTGTTTCTAAATTTAGAAATGTGTAATTTATTTTGAAACAGACTTAAAAAAAAAAAAAAGAGAACATCACCTAATTTGAAACAGATGTAGTAATATTTTAGAGAAATGGGGCGTTACACACTTCAAAATACAGAAGCATTTTAGTTACCAAATACCAAAAATTCAGGTCGTAGGATGATCACAAGAAGCATCTTATAAGCTAGTGTGCAACATGCCAATATTAAAAGTGTTTATTTATCCAAGTTAGGGTTGGGTTGCACCCTCCAACTTAAGGACAATGTTGGAGTGCTTGTAGTTAGGGGCAGAGCCAGCATGTTTCATACGGGTCCAGTCAAACTCAATAGTTTTGGTCAATCTTCATATTTATCAAAAGTTTATTGAATATGTATAAATTATTCATTTAGAACCCAATAACTTAAAATGGCTTGAATTTCTTAACTCATAAACTTCAAATTGTAGCTCCACCTTTTCTTGTATTACTACTTTTCCATTTATTTACCTGTACATTACACAGGTGCATTATTTAGCGGTATAGGTTGCCCATTTTAGCTTAACTGGTGCTTAACAAAAGTCCAGCTCGGTCAATGTGTACATAGGACTTGGTATGTTTTAGAAGGGACTTAGAATTCAGTGTTTACATATACTTAGCTAGCGTTTGGCATATAGTCCCAAATTTATTTTAAAAAAATTTATTTGGATGAAGTTTGGTTCGAAGATGAAAATCTGTTTGGATATAATTTTCAAAACATACATCACTTTTTTTTTTTAAATAAACATAAAATATGACTTATGCCCATAAGAGTTATAAACTATCGAAAATATCCAACAACTCTGAAGAAAATTCATAAAAACAAGCGAAACAAATCTAAAAAAAATTCATACAAAACAAGCAAAACTAATATGAAGAAATTTATACAAACATTAGTAGATTTTAGCCAATTACATTCAAATTTTATCTTTAAGGTGGATTGTCACAGATTGGCACAACAACTTTGGCGAGAATTTTCTTTTGTTTATAGAGAAGGGCAAAATTGCGTGAGTTTAATGAGGAAAAAGTGGGTAGATATAGATTAGTTGGGGTAATAATAACAGAAAGTGAGTTTTTTTTTATAAAATATAAAAGTCTGGGTAATTTTTTAAAAAAAATT